GTTTCCAGCCTGCTTAGTTTAAAACCTTGAGTGGAGCTTCGGGCCTGGATCCAGTTTCCTTCAGAGGACGGGTTCCCAGACTGGGGTCTGCTTACTTGTTTTTTTTCTACCCATATTTTAATAACTATATTTCACTATAATTGGTTTCCTCGGTAGTTCTGTGTGTTTTGTTTTATGTATTTTTAAGCCCTTATTCTGAGAAGGGCTCACCACACCGCTGAAGGGGACGGCCAGGGCACCAAAGAGGCAAAGCACCCCTGATTTAGAGAATAACCAGTTCATTAGCATATAGGCCAAGGAAAGAAGATAATTAACGTGTTTAAAAAGTGATAAGTAAAATGGCCACACCTTAGGACTGGGAAAACACATACCCGAGAAGGGCAGACAGCTTTTTCTTAACCTTTTTGAAAAAAGAAAAAAAAAAAACCCAACCTAATGTCTCTGCTGAGAGTGATGAGACTTGCTGGGAATCTGATCAGGGACAGGCTCAGACTTCCCATTTTCCCCAGGAGATGGGCAGGGCAGTGAGGTGAGGAGGTCTCCTCTCCAGGCTAATTGATGACTCAGTTTCTCTGACTGTTTCGGAGCCTGGGAAAGAGGAGCATGGAGTGTCATGAGATCTCCAAAATGTATTTCACCCACAAGCAGATGTTACAGTGAAATACACAGCCTTCACAATTGTCCCGACAGGAGATGACAATGCTCCCCACAACCCCAAACTTCCTGGGACAAGGTCAGTCTGGGGTCATGCCCAGTTGCCCTGACTTGGTGCCACCCATAAGAATTTGGGTCCCACGTAGAAAGGCTGGGCTATCATGGACACAGCCCTGGTCTGGGAATTCAGCCAGTCTGGTTCAACCACATACCAGCTGTGTGACCTTGCATAAGTCAATTCAATTCAACCGTGGGCCTGAGATTCCTGGCCTGTAGGTTGAGGGTTCTGGACTAATGTTTGTCATAAGGCCATTTCCAGACGTTTCATCCTGTCCTGTCCAGCTACACTGAATGAAGTCTTGTGCTTCACCCCTCACTTGCCTCCTCATTCTTCATCCTGCTCCCCCTCCACCCGGCTGCCTACCTTGGTGCCATTGTCTACTTTTCACCTAGAAAGGTAACTCCTTGAGCCAAGAAGCATTCTTTCAGCCTCCCTTCCCCCACGGTCATCCTTCTCAGAGCCTTATCTATGCTGCTAATCCCTTCCACTAAACAGTGCCTCTCAGATGCACAGCTGAGCCTAGCTTTTGTCCCAGAGTCACAGTGATGTGACTTGGTACTCTCAGCAGTCGGATTGCATCTGAACTTTTAGATAAAGCTGTGAAACTCTGTCTCTGCACTAAAAATTGGAAAAAACTCAGCTTCAGGGCCTGGTTTTGGGAGAGCCTTGAGTCGGAGCATAATTTTTTAAGAGGCACCATGGTGTGTGATCTGGGTTCAAATTAGCCCTTTCCTTGGGTCCCCTTTAGCAAATGTTTTCATCTCTCTCACCTTTTACTGCTTTATTTCTAAAATGAATGGGCTCATCTAGACCACAGATTTAGGGCAGGAAGGAACCCGAAAGGCCATTGAATCCCACCCTATCATTTTCCAGAGGAGGAAACTGAGTCCCATCAAGGTTGAGCAACTTTGCCCAGTGTCACCCAGCTGTCTGAGGCAGGATTGAACTCAGGTCTTCCCTTCCCTACTCAATAAATTCCATTTCTAGGATCAAATAGACAATCTTCCATTTTAGTATTTACTTCCAAGACCAGCTCTCTTCAGGACGCCATCTTGGATTGCTAAGGTTTCTTCCAGTTTTATATCCTAGAGTAGACTCATTGTTTTGATGGTTTATACTCTACACCTTCACCTCAGCCTAGCTTTGACTATTCCCCTGCTCCATCCTTACTGTTGCCCAGCCACCCATACTTGGAGCAGGTTGAGCATGTCTTTCTGCCTTATGATTTGGACAACAGCATTGCCTGACTTCTGCTAGCTTACCCTTGCTTCCAGATCAGATTCAAGGTGCTTATCTCTCTCACCCTTGGACATCATGCTCCTTCATGACTCCATACTCTTATTTCTACCCCCTTCTATCTCCTTTCCTTTGCTTTTTTTTAAATTAAAATTTTTTTAATTGATTGACTGTCGTCAATCCTGGCCTCCTGCTTCCTTGATTTCCACCTTGCTTCTTTCTTTTCTCAAGTGTTTCATCTTCTTCCCTCATCTTCTCCAAATCACAAGAGCAAATTCTACTCTTCTGACCATCCTCTTTGGAGGCTGACCACTGAGGAAGGGGGTGCACATTTCTGTTCAGTGTAATGAGATGTTCACTTTTTTTTTTAAAGCCTGTCCCAGGCAGATGTGCTCACTTTTACCGTCTTGTGTATTTTACCTCTGCATTAGGTTGTCTTTCAGGCTCAGATTAGAGCCTTCAGGGTAGACAGTAAACCCCAAACACCATGTTGGTGCTTAACTGCTAAATAATTGGGCTCCCATTGCTGTGTGTGAAGCCTGAGTGGAGGAACAGGTATCCCTTCTCCTTCTGTACCCTGTATGAGAGGCATATTTGGAGATGACTTAATGTTTATGTCTTTGGCAACAAGGCTTTTACATTTTTTTTCTTGGAGGGGGTGAGGCCCTCAACATTGGCTTTTTTGCTGTCTTGCCAATGAGGAAATTCCACAAGCATTCCTGTTGTAATGCTGGAGGAGAAGAGAAGTTGAGCTTGACCAGGCTTTCTTGGGAAACTTTGCTCTCAAATTTTATTCCATGTCCCAGCCCAGTGTTTCTCCCATTTTAGAGAGAAGTCAAGTTAGCAAGCATTTATGAACTACCCACTATATGCCAGGCACTATGCTAAGCACTGGGGACACAAAGAAAAGCAAAAAACAATCTCTTTTTCTCAGAGAGCTCACAGCCACAGCAAATGACTGTGGAAACAGGATATATAGACGGAAAAATTGAGGAGCTGACTCAGAGGGAGGGTATTAAGATCGTAGAGGATCAGAAAAGCCTTCTTGCATATGGTGGGAGGACTGGAAGAAGACAGGGAAGCCAGAAACTCCTCAAAGGAGTTGAGAAAGGAGAGAGTTCCAGGCATGGCGCACAGCCAATGGAAATGCCCAGAGTTGGGGACATGGAGGGTGCTGTTGGAGGAACAGCAAATAGGCTGGTGTCATTGGACTGGAGGAAGAAGGGTAGAAGGGGGCCAAGTGATGAAGGACTTTAAAAGCTAAAGGAGGATTTTATATCAGTTAATCAATAAGCATTTATTAAGCACCTACTATGTGCCAGCACTTATGAAACACCTATTGTGTGCTAACACTTATTAAGTACCCATTATGTGTCAGGCATTATACTAGGTGCTGGGGAGACAAAGACAAAGATGAAAAAAATCCCTGACCTCTAGGAGTTTACATTCTAGCTAAGACAATATCTATATACACATATGCATACAAAAATACATTTGTGTATATATGTGTGTGTGTACATATATACATATTCATATATATAAGGTGATTTTTTGGGGGGAAGATATTAGTAGCTTGGGGGATCAGGAAAGACTTCATGCAGAAGGTGGCAATTAAGCTTAGCCTCAAAAGAAAATTAGGAACTTCTGAAAGGCAGGTAAGAAAGGAATATTTCAGACGTGGGAGAGAGCCCATGGATTGTCAGGTATAAGGAACAGTAAGAAAGATGGTTTGGTTTGGCTGTGGTGGGTGTGGATGGGGTGTAAGGTACAGTCATTAGGCTGGAGAGGTAGACTGGGACCAAGTTGGGAAGGCTTCAAATGCCAAATGGAGGAGTCGCTACCTGATCCTCAAGGTAATAGGGAGCCACTGGACCTTATTGAGAAGGGGAGTGACATGGGCAGATTTGCGCTTCAGGAAGATCGCTTTGGCAGCTGTGGGATGGATGGATTTGAGAGGGGGCTCAAGTCTACTTACATCCCTTTGTCTGTGGTCATATGTAGTGGTTAGTGGCAGACCGCAGATTCAAACCCAGGTCTTCTGACTCTAAAATCTGCATTTTTTAAAAAAAATGGCATCATAATTTCTAGGGAGGATTCTTGGTGTTAGAAGTGGGTGGGGAGACCCCAAATTTTGAGTCCCATTAATATGGCTGTGCCAGCTAAGAGATGTAGCAAAAGTTGTCTGGAAGCAACCAGGCTTATTTCAGAATTTTCTTTTTTGGGAAGATAAATCTATATAAGAAATAATTTTTGGAATTTACTAGAATTTTCTGAGTAAGGGAGCCACGTGAACCTTGTTATATATCTCACTATTAGGTAGATTTGTATATTCAAATCCTGTCCTACCTCCCCTCCGCCACATAACAAATATTCCTAATAGAAAACAGTTATTCTCTAAGGTGGATATTAGTCTTGGGACCCAAATACCAGGACCTGAAAGGCCTGCAAAGTTAGCAAGGTTCCTACACCCAGTTATCTCTTGACAGGCACGGGCCAGCTGGAAAATCAGTCAAGGAGGTGGGGGTTGGGGTGGAAGCATGAGTAGGACAATGTAGGGTATTTCTTCTTCATACGCTCTCTCCTGACCCTTCAGAACACAGTCATGGGGCTTCCCTCTCTTCTTGGCTCTGCTCCTATACTCCAAAGTGGACTCATAGACCTGGGGTCTATGGGTCCCATTGCTCTTGGAGAGAGAACCTAATGAATGAAACATTCAGGAGGAAAAACAAAAAAGCACAGTGTATTCACTGTCAGCCCTGACAGGCCATCTGTTTTGTCCAGTGGATTGAAAGACAAAGAGGAGATCATGGTTTGGGGAGGACCTAGAGAGAGGTCAACCAGGCCATCCTTCTGCCTCTAGGAAGGACTGAGTCAGGAGGCAAGCCCCAAGTGGAGAGCATAGGGTCATTTTACAGGAAAAGATGCTGAGGCCGTCCCTCCTCCCCCTAAAAAATACTGAGGCCTAAAGAGGTCACCCACCCAAGGTCACACAGGGAACATGCCATCCGGATGCAGGACTGACATCATAACTTTGGTTTTGTGTTGACAGGTGGAAAATCTGAAGGACAAACTCATTGGCCAGGTCCAGGAAGTGAATAGACTCCGTTCAGAGCTGGTGAGCCTCCTTTGACATATACTTAGGGAAGCTGATGTGGTGAGACCTTAAGTGTTCACTAACTGCTCATTGTGTATCCACCTCCACTTGCATTTCCTCGCCATCTCCAGTCCTTAAAGCATGGTTCATATAGGCTAGTTCTCCTATTACATCTGTATCTATCTATCTATCTTTCTTTCTTTCTTTCTTTCTTTCTTTCTTTCTTTCTTTCTTTCTTTCTTTCTTTCTTTCTTTCTTTCTTTCTTTCTTTCTTTCTTTCTTCTTTCTCTCTCTTTCTTTCTCTTTCTCTTCTCTCTTTCTTTCTTTTTCTTTCTCTCTCTTTCTTTCTGTCTGTCTGTCTCTAATCCAGGGGTGGGGAAACCTGAGGCCTTGAGGCCACATGTAGCCCTCTAGGTCCTCAAGTGGCCTCGAGGCCTCAGGTTCCTCACCCCTGTCTATAGTCATAGATTCATGTACCTGTGTGTAGGGATAAGCATAGAAAGGCACAAAAATGTACACATTCAACATAGCGGTTAGCATTTATATAACACTTTCAGGTTTGCAAAATGCTTTAATATGTGATTGTACCTGATCCTCATAGCAACTGTGTGAAGGAAGGGGTGTACTATTATTAGCCCCATTTCACAGATGAGGAAACAGGCTGAGAGAGCTTACATGTCTTGCCTAGAGTGACAGAGCTAATAAGTGTCTAAGGAGGACCACGGTGGCATACGAGACTGAAAAGGCTCAGGTTGGTGGATTGCATGAGCTTGGGAGTTCTCAGGTGTCCATGCAAAGTCTGGAACAATCTGGTGAGCCCCTGGGAGTAGGGGGCCGCCTGGCTGTGGAATGTGAGGCAAACCTGCCCAGTCTGGAAATGGAGCAGGTCAAAGCTTCCACATTGATCAGCTGTGGGGCTGGGCCAGCCAGCCGCACCTGCGCTTCTAACCCAGACAGGATGGGGAGACCTGGTATCAAACACAACAAAGTCTCTAAGGTACAATTTGAACTGAGATCTTCCAGACTCCAGCCCTCCATCCATTACACGGCCTAAATGCTCCGAAGCATGTGTATGTGTGTCTATTTTAAGAGGTACATGTTTATATGTTTTATATATTATATGACAGCTAGCATTTATATAGGCTAACAAAGTACTTTGAAAATATTATCTTGTTTTATCCTCACAATAACCCTGGGAGGTAGGTGCTATTAGTATCCTCATTTTACAGATGAGGAAACTGAGGCAAACAGGGTTAAGGGACTTGGCCAGGGTCAGACAGCTAGTCAATATCTGAAGCTGGATTTGAACTCAGGTCATCCTGACTCCAGGCCCAGCCCTCTCTTCACTCTACCGTGTGTGTACATATGTATGTGTGTGTATGTAAATGCATACATACCCACATATATGTATTTATTATACAATATGTCTATTTATGTATGTGCATAAATCTAGATGTGTATATGTGAATATACATATACACATACATACAAATGTATACATAAGTAAATTTTACCTTTGGAACCAGAATATCGCACTGCATTTATGCTTACAATGACCATGTTAGTTTTACACATCCACAAATAGAGATATATCCCTATTACTGAAAAAAAAAATGGGTGTTGACGTCACAGTCCAAATCCAGGAGAAGCCCTTGGATTCCTGATGTTGCCCCAATGAACACAAGACATTCTTAGCATGCCTCTCATGATACTAGATATTGTACAAGTCTTATGGGGTGGGGGATGCGTTTAAAATTGCCACCCTATACCAGGTGTGTGACCCATTTTGTAGCAGCTAGGGGATCTTTCGACGGCTTCGCTCTCGGGAAAGAAGCTGCCGGGATCCCTGGCCGGGGTGGGAAGGGAGAGGTGCGCCCGGCGCTATCCCGGCGGTGTCCCGGCGTCTGGCCGGCCGTCTCTGTCTCCCCTTGCACCTGCCCGTGCCCATGCCCATGCCCATGCCCGTGTCCGTCCTTCCCAGGGAGGCACAGACTTGGAGAAACACCGGGATCTCCTGATGGTGGAGAATGAGCGCCTGAGGCAGGACATGAAGCGATGCGAGGCCGAGCTGCAGGAGCTGAGAGCGCGGCCTCCCCCGTGCCCGGACTGCGAGCACAGCAAGGTGCGCATGGACGGGGCAGCCTGCCAAGTGCGGCCGGGGCGCAGGCGCTGAGCGTGGGGGGAGGGGAGGCCTGGGCTGACCCCCCACCCTCTCCCCTCCACCAGGAGAGTGCCCAGCTGCGGGAGAAGCTGGCCCAGCTGCAGGTGGAGACGGAGGAGAACAAGGGCCGGCTGGCCGAGCTGGACCTGGAGGTGCAGCAGAAGACCAACCGTCTGGCCGAGGTGGAGCTGCGCCTCAAGGACTCCCTGGCCGAGAAGGCGGAGGAGGAGGAGAGGCTGAGCAGGCGCCTGCGGGACAGCCAGGAGACCATCGCCACCTTGAAGGCTCAGCCTCAGCCCATCAAGGTGAGGCGGCCACGCCCCTGACCCGGCCTGGAGGAGGGGCTAGACTTGGGGTTTCATCCGCGCAGGGAACTCCCAGGGGAGGGGACTCCCTCTACCAGTGCAGGTAGCCAGTCCCAGCTGAGGAAAATCATTGTTCCGGTGTAGATGGGCGCTTTCTCTGCAGCGTGGAGAGTTCCCCAGAGCGGTGAGAGGCGAATGACTTGCCCAGTGGCTAATTCTGATTCATGCAACAGTCTCACGGTGGATAACTTCAAGAAAAATGGCCTTGGGGAGGCAGAGAAAACCAGCTAGTCCGACCTTTTCACTTTGCAGTTGAGGAAACTGAGTCTCAGAGAGTGTAAGGGACCTTATGACTTCTCTCTGAGATAATCTCACCCCTACTCCGTGCGCATCTTGTGTATACCGAGTGATGTCCATGTTGTCTCTCCCATTAGACTGGAAGCTCCTTGAGGGCAGACACTGTTTTGGCTTTCTTTGTCTTCTGGGCACTGAGCTCAGTGTCTGGCACACAGTAGGTGCTTAATCAATGGGAGCTGATTCATTGACATCTGTGTTTAGAACCTATGATCTCAGGACCTCAGAGGCGATCCCTCCCCCTCTTCTCCCATTTTACAGATGAGAACACTAAACTTAGGGAGGTTGATTTGCCCAGGGTCATACAACTAGTGTGGGGGATGGGACTCAAACCCTCCTCTTCCTGACTTGAGTCCATCGTTCTTAGAGATCATATAGTCCAGAGGTCCAGAGTGATCAGATGGCTTGCTTAAGATCATAAGAGGGGTTAAGTTGCAAAGCCAGGATTGAAGCCCATGACACTCAGGGCTGTGATTCCTAAGCCCTGGTTCAGCTGGTCTTTCTGTCCTGTGTCAGGTCAAGATGCTGCAGGGAGACCTTAGGAGAGACTAGGAAGGATGCTGATCCAGCAGAGTCAGGGGGCTCTGCCAGTCTGGTCTGCATCCTTTTTCTTTCTTGCTCTTCTCTTTCTTCTCTCTTCTTTCTCTCTCTCTTTCTTTCTTCTCTGTCCTCTCTGTCTCTCCCTTTCTTCTCTCCTCACTCTCTCTTCTCTCCTCTTTCTCTTCTCTTTCTCCTCTCTTTTGTCTCTCTCTCTCTCCTCTCCTCTCCTCTCCTCTTTCTCTTTTTTCTCCTCTCTCTCTCTCCTCTCCTCTCCTCTCTCTTCTCTCTGTCTCTCTCTGGCTCCTGGTGATATAATAACATTCTTCTGTGTGTGCATGTGTTCATGCACATGTGTGTCTTTTAGTACATCATCAAGACGGTGGAAGTAGATTCATCCAAGACCAAGCAGGCCCTGTGTGAAACCCAAGCCCGGAACCAGTATTTACAGGAGCAGGTGGGGATGCAGAGACAAGTGCTGAAGGAAATGGAACAGCAGCTTCAGAATTCTCAACAGACGATGGCCCAGCTCAAGGCCCAGGTACGGTCCCTGGGGAAGCTCCCACATCCTTGCATAAGCAGAATGGAGAGAGAAGGAGAGAGAGAGAGAGACAGAGAGAGAGACAGAGATAGAGACAGAGAGAAACAGAGAGAGAGAGAGAGAGACAGACAGAGAGAGAGAGAGACAGAGACAGAGAGAGACAGAGGGAGAAAGAGAGACAGACAGAGAGAGACAGAGACAGAGGAGAGAAAGAGACAGAGAGGCAGAAACACAGAGACAGAGATACAGAGAGAGAGAGAGACAGAAAGACAGAAACAAAGAGGAGAAAGAGAAAGAGAAATTAATTTGTTCAATAAACACTTATTAAATGCCTGCTGTGTGCAGAACCCTGCATTGGATTTGCCCTCAGGAAGCTTCCCCTCTAGTAAGGGGGTAAGAGACAAGCACACAAGGAGCCCTAATTTCGTCAGTGTCTGTCTCCCTTCTACCAAGGCAGATTGCAGCTCTTTAGTGGGTGCCTTAGGGGATGGACTGGTGAGTTTCCATAGCCAGTGGCCAGCCAGGTGATTGATGAGCCTTCCTGGATTTAGCCTCCCAGCTGTTCCCTGAACAAGGCCCTCCATCTCTTGGCCGCAGGCCTTCTCTCTGGCCAGCCCCCGTTCTTGGAACACTCTCCCTCCTCCACTCTGACTGCTGACATCTCCCGCTTCCTTTAAGTCCCAACTAAAACCCCATCTTTTACTGGAAGCCTTCTCTGACCCCTCTTAATTCCAGTGCCTTCCCTCTGTTAACTGTCTTCTGCTCCTCCTGCATGTAGCATGTTTGTACCTGCTGGCTGGCATGTTCTCCTCCTGTTAGAGTGTGAGCTCCTTGAGGCAGGGCCATCTTTGCCTCTTTTTGTAGCTTTAGCACTTAGCACCATGCCTGGCACATAGTAGGTGCTTAATAAATACTGATTAATTGATAACTAGGCTTGTTCTAGAATGGAAGACACGCTCAAAGCCAGATTGTCCTTGAAACCTTTCCAACGTGGCAGGACCTTTGAACCCTTGCTTGGCCTTTGGGAATCCAAGGTCTCCTCCCTTCCATGGCGAGGCCTCAGGGTAGCATGTTAGTATAAGTCAAGGGCTTCATTGATATCCATGCAATGGGAAGAGAACTCAAGGAAAGTCCATCAGCCGGTCAACAGGCATTTATTCACCACTGGCTTTTGTGCTAAGCACTGAGGTTGCAAAGACAGGCAAAATCCCTAGTCTTGCCTTCAGGGGGCTCCCATTCTAATCATGTGCAGAGAACAAGACACATACAAGAATGTAGAGAGTGATATAGAAGGCACCAGCAGCTTTGAGGATTAGGGGAAGCCTACTACAGAAGATAAGGGTTAAGCTGGGTCTTAAGGCAGAGATGAAGAGGGACAGCATTCCAGGTATGGGGCACAGCCAGTGCAAAGGCCCAGGGATGGGAACGTTCTGAGGAGAAACAGCAAGTGTGGCTATCTAGTATTAATTAATAAGTATTTGCCCGCTGACTGATCGCAGAATTTAAGAAGACTAGAAAGGCAGGAAGGGGTCTGGCTGTGAAGCACTTTGAATACCACTCAAAAAGCGACCCTCTCAGTTCCATAAGCATTGACTGAAGACTCACTGTGCGCTTTGGAATCTGTGCTTATCGATTAGCTTGTTGCCAATCGCTTCTGAGTTTCAGAGTTCTGGTCAGCCGCACCACGCAGAGAATCATCGAACCACAGTTTCTTGCACACAGTAGGCATTCAGTAAATGTTTGATGAATGAATGAATGAATGAATGTTGAATTGACTCATAGGATCAGTGTCAGATCTTTGAGACCCTAGAGAGGGGTAAGGGTCACCCGGAGAGTTAGTGACAAAGCCGACAGTAGAAAACAGACCCTCTGCGTCTCCTCCCTGACTGCTCAGGACTTTTGCCATCACCTGCAGTGGGAGTGTAGGGGGGTGGGGGTTGATGCACCTTGTCTGGAGGGCTTCTTTGGCCAGGCCGTCACAGGCCGCCCAGGAATTCAGGTTCTCCATGCTTTCTTCTCCCCGGCTCCCAGATCATGATGTATGAGTCAGAGTTGGAGCGGGCTCACGGGCAGATGCTGGAGGAGATGCAGACCATGGAAGAGGATAAGAACCGGGCCATTGAGGAAGCTTTTGCCAGGGCCCAAGTAGAAATGAAGGCTGTACATGAAAACCTGGCAGGTGAGAGGGGGAGGGGAGCCCTTCTCTCCTACCCCTGTCCACTCCCCATGGATTGGCTGGGCCTCACTTTCTGGTGATGTCTGCCCTGCCTTTGGGCGCTGCCAAAAATGAGCGCTAGCCATTCGCTGTCCCTGGTAGAAATCACTCACTTTCCATTTCCCTGGCCTCATTTCCAGGTGTCAGGACCAACCTTCTGACTCTGCAGCCCGCCCTTCGGACCCTCACCAATGACTACAATGGCCTGAAGAGGCAGGTTCGAGATTTCCCACTCCTGCTGCAGGAAGCCCTGAGGAGTGCCAGAGCAGAGGTAGGCATTATGAAGGGGCTGGGTGGCTTCTTACCTACCCACACCAAAGATATGATTCCCATCCTCACCCCAGCCCTGACCCCAGCCTTTCTTAGTGGGCTTAGAGGCCTCTTGGCTATCTCTTTCTGAATCTTTGGTCTGGATTTCTTCTGGCCCCTTCATTTTATAGAGGAGAAAACAGCCTAAGAGGGGGGCAAGTGACTTGTCCAGGGACACACAGCAAGTTAACGGTACAGCCTAGACAAGTCCCAGCCCAGTGCTCTGTCCATTATGGCCATATGCCATCAGGCACCAGAGGGATGTGGACCGTCGTTCTGGGTAGAGGGAAAGGAAAGCCCCATCAGGGCTCTGGGTTCTCATACCATGCTGGGGGAGAAGAGAAGGATTACTTAGAAGAGAAGGCCCTCTTGGTCACCTCCTCGGTGTTCCTTCCCTCAGATTGGCCAAGCCATCGAAGAGGTGAACAGCACGAACCGAGAACTGCTGAGGAAATACCGCCGGGAACTCCAGCTCCGCAAAAAGTGTCACAATGAGCTTGTGAGGCTGAAAGGTGAGGAAGAAAGGAGGAGGGTAGGGTTGGGCTGGGGTTTGGGGGCGAGCAGAGTGGGAAGGAGGAGAATGGTAGAGCCATCAGAGTTCAAATGAGAATTGGTGCTACAATTCTGGGTCAGGCGGCATGTTGAGTGAGAGGAAAACACTGTCAGAAAGTTTCTGAAATGGAATAAATGTTATCTTTCAGCAATGGAGTAGGACCTCTGGTCTCCCAGGATCAATTGAGATAATATTTGTAAATTGCTTAGCTCAGCTCCTGGCACCTAGAAGGTGCTTAATAAATGCTTATTCTCACCCTTAGGAATGGGCTGGGATGGCTACGGTTGCCACTGATATCCTTTGTCAAACTTTATGCTGAGACAATCTTTCTTCTACTTTGTATTAGCCTCATAATTATGTAAGCTCCCTGAGGCAGGGACCTGTTTTGTTTGTGCTTTTCTTTGTAACCTCAGCACTTAGCACTGCACCTGTCATATAGTGAGCATTTAATAAAAGTGCTTAATAATTTTTTTAATATTTGGTTTTTTTTATTTGTTTTTTAATTTTTAGGCAATTGGGGTTAAGTGACTTGCCCCGGGTCACACAGCTAGTAAGTGTCAAATGTTAAGTCTGAAGCCAGATGTGAACTCAGGTCCTCCTGACTTCAGGGCCGGTGCTGTATTCACTACACCACCTAGCTGCCCCGTAATAATTTTTAAAAATACATTTTTATTGATTTTGTTAAATGTTTCTCAATTTCATGTAAATTTTTTTATTTCATTAAATTTTTATATATTTCAATATTTATTTTTATTTCACTAAATATTCCCCAATTATGTATAATTTTTTAAACATTTATTTATTTTAAATTTTGAGTTCTAAATTCTCTTCCTCCCTTCTACCCCCTTGACCCTTGAGAAAGCAAACAATATGATATCAATTATACATGTGAAGTCATGCAAAGCATATTGTCATGTAGCAAAAAAAAACCCTCCCCCCAATTGAAGAAAATGAAAAAAAAACTGCTTCAAGCTGCACTCAGAGTTCATCAATTTTTTTTTTTTTTGATGAGGCAATCGGGGTTAAGTAACTTGCCCAGGGTCACACATGTAGTGTCAAATGTCTGAGGCTGGATTTGAACTCAGGTCCTCCTGACTCCAAGGCCAGAGCTCTATCCACTTTGCCACCTAGCTGCCCCTGAGTTCATCAATTTGCTCTCTGGGGGTGGATAGCATTTTTCATCATGGGTCCTTTCAAATTGTCTTGGATTATTGTATGGATCTGAGTAGTACTTAATAATTTTTGAGATTTAACTGGTGTCAGAAACCTTATTAGAGGTGGTTTCTGTATTTGCTGTCAACCATCATGGGCCCTAAAATTTTAGTAATAGCCTGTTCTTGCTGCTCCTAATAAAATTCCTTCCTGGCAGCTGGGCTGAAAATCAGAAAGACCTGAGTTCAAATCCAGCCTCAGACACTTAACTAGCTGTGTGACCCTGAGCAAGTCACTTAACCACTCTCTGCCTCGGATTTCTCAACTGTAAAATAGGAAGAGTAGTAATAGTACCTAATTCCCAGGGTTATCGTGAGCATCAAATGTGATAGTATTTGTAAAGTGCTTAGTATGGTACCTGGCGCATGCTAGGCTCTCAATAAATGCTTGGTCTCTTCCTATGTTGTATTGCACATAAATTTATTATCATGTATTATGTATTCTGTGTACCCCCTAGTGGCAAAAAAGAGAAAAAACCTTGCAGCCAGTATGCATGATCAAGCAAAGTTTCCTGAGCTGAGTAAATGTTTGTTGAAGTGAGACTGTGAGAATTTTTCACAATACTGTGATTTCTTGTTTGCACTCATCTTTATTTTTAACCTTTCTTCCTTGCGCTCCATAATGAAGGAAACATCCGTGTGATTGGTCGGGTCCGACCGGTCACCAAAGAGGACGGGGACGGGCCTGAGGCTAGCAATGCAGTGACCTTTGACTCCGATGATGATGCTGTCATCCACCTGCTACATAAGGGAAAGCCCGTGTCTTTTGAGCTGGACAAGGTGTTTCCTCCACATGCAACCCAACAAGATGTGAGTGATGTGCCCTCTCACCAGAGAAAGCCAATCAAAAAGCATTTATTAAGCACCTACTGGGGGGGGGGGGGGGGCTAAGCAATGATGATACAAAGAAAGGCGCAAAAAAAAAAAAAGTGGTCCCTGCCCTCAAGGAGCTTACAGTCTAATGGGGGAGTATGGACCAAGTTATGCAAATAACTTGGTCTATATAAGGTATAGACAGTAGATGGAAGGCAATTGCAAAGGGACAGGCATTAGCAGCTGGGAGGGCAGGGAAAAGGGAGGCTTTGGCTGTGCCTGGCATCTCTTCTGCCAATGCCTCTTCCCTCCAGATCTGGGGAAGAGACAAAAAGCACCCAGGAGATAGAGTCTGTGGGGATCTAGACACATCACCTCCAGGCTCCAAGGGGAAGGATTCCTCCGGAAAGTCCAGTGACTTGTTGAAGGGCAAAACTAAGGCACCTTATCTTTGTGTGTCTAACACACCGAGGTTCTGTGAGCTAAGGAATCACATCATAGAGGGTTGGACCCTTGGTACGGTCAAATACCTCGAACTCCTTTGTATTCCACACCTTTACATCCCCCATAGAGCCCTGCATTAAGCAAGCTACTCTTCTATTGTTGATGCTAATGACACCATGGGATTTTAGAGAGATCACCTGGTCTGGCCCCTTCTTATTACAGATGGGAAGACTGAGGTGTGTGCAGGTCATGTGAATTGTCCAAGCTCACATAATAATAATGATAATGATAGTAATAATAGCACTTATGTAGCAGCTACTGTGTGTCAGGTCCTGTGCTAAGCATTTTACATTTACCTCATTTGATTTTCATAACAACCCCTCAAAGTAGATACTATTATTATCCCCATTTTATAGATGAGGAAACTGAGGCAAACAGATTAAATGACTCGCCTAAGGTCACATAGTGATTAGGTGTCTGAGACCAGATTTGAACTGTCAGTAGAGATAATAATAGCACTTACCTCTCAGGGTGGTTCCAAGGATCAAATGAGATAATATTTGTAAAATGCTTAGCATAGTAGCTGGCATGCAGTAGGTGCTATATAAATGCTCATTCCCTTTCCTTTCCCTGTACAAAGAGCAAGGAAGGAGTTAGGGTAAGTGAAATGAAGCACTTTTAATTTCACAAGTTTAGTAACATCCCTCTCATTCAACAATAAGATATGTATTATTATTCATCTATTCAAGTATGTAATGATCTGCTTGTTATTAAAGAAATGCATCATTGTCCATCTATTCGACTATATAATAACATTATTAACTAAGAAAGTTCTATTTAGGAAGGCTCTGTTCATTTATTCATTCAGTAATAACAATACATTGCTGTATCTTGTTAATAAAGAACTTATTATTTTGGTGGGTTGATTGGCTGGCTGAATGAATGAATGAATGAATGGATAGAACTTTCCCAGAAGTCTCTCCTGCATTTGTGAAATAAGCCCATTCGGCTCCTAGATGTCTTGCGTGCGAGCCGGTCTCAGCTCTCTTCTCCTTGCTGATGGAGACATGGTTTGCAGAAGAGAAGACAAGCTGCCTCCCTGCAAGCCAGGCACCTGACACACCTTCCCTCTCCTCTCCCGTCCTCCTTGGCAGGTGTTCCAAGAAGTCCAGGCACTGATCACTTCATGCATTGATGGCTACAACGTCTGCATTTTTGCCTACGGACAGACGGGTGCTGGCAAAACGTACACGATGGAGGTAGGCTTTTAGAGGACTTGCTCGTATGCGGGCTTTGGTTTCTGGTCTATGGCTGCCCTGTTGGGCATTTTCTCGGTGATGTCCAAAGGGAGATTGGGATGCTTGGCTTACGAGAGTCAGAATTCAGGCATTCACTATTCAAGGACCTCTGGGGTCAGCGGCCAACATTTAAAAAGACAAATTCCTTATAATTCACCATTTGGAATTAACCCTAAGGGGGATAGGATATTTCTGAAAGCTAGCACAGCCCCGGCTATCTCCATAGGAACGAATATGGCTGTCCTACTGACTAGGGGATTGATTGGAATCTCCCTAAGACACAGGGCCTCTGTCTGGGCTCCAAGGTCCAAGGAGGAGGTAGGTGGAGAATCACAATGGAAAAGATGTCCCAAGCTTTAGGGGGACCAGAACTCAGGAGAGAAGGCCAGAGGTATTAGGATCATTGGGTCCGAGAAGAGAAGAGTGAGGGGGGTTGATGATCCCGAATGTATAAAGGGCCGTCTGCCTGTCCTGCCTTCCGAAGAGCACTGAATCCAAGGGGAGCAAGCAGCATGAGAGATTTAGGTTAGCGATAAGGAAGGACTTCCTGACAATGAAGAGAGAAAGAATAAAACCCGTCCCTTGGGCTTTATTTAACTTTTTTTAGGTGTCCGTAGTTATCGAGTGGTGCTTTTCAGCTCTTGTGGGTGAGAGGAGAGTGGGTGGGTGGGGGGAGGAGTGGCAGCTAGCCCAGGAGGAGGGCTTTGAGATCTGGAACAAGAGGAGCAGAAACAGGCCTTTCCGGATGAAGCAGTTTCACAGAAACTTGACCTGGGCCTGGAAAGTTTAGAAGCACGGAGTTTGGAACATAGTAAGCGCTTCATAAATGCGTTTTCACTCATTTATTCATGCTCGTGGGCTCAGTCTCCCCCCTCCCCACAAACTACCTCCATTCTTGCTCTGTGATTCAGGAGGCAGGGGTGGGGAGCGTGCCAGGCTGAGTCAAGGCATGGGAAGAGAGCACAGAGGTGAGCAAATGTCTCTCCTCCTCATTCCAATCCAGCGAAGAGGCCGGCTCTGTGCAAAGCCACCCCATGGGGGAGAGAAGGAGGATGTGGTCTCTGCCTTCAGAGAGTTTTAAGTCCAATTGAAAGGGCAGAACTCACACAGAGAAAATCAAAGAGCAGTAATGTCTTCTGCAGCTCAGAAGAGGTGGGCTTTGATCTCATCTCTGCCTCTTACCATCTGTATGACCTTGGGCAAGTCTCCGGGGCCTCAGTCTTCAGCTCTGTGAAATGAGGGGATTAGACTAGATCATCCTCAAGGTCCCATTCCACTCTGAATATGCAACCCAACATTACTGATTGACTCAGTTCAATTCACTAAACATTTTTTATGCACCTGCTGTATGCAAGATACTGTATTAGGCCTTGTGAATAGCTGCTGGGCCCCCAAAATACACCGTACTCAAAAATATACAGTAGTACTCAACAGTCCACTTGTCACTGATTGGTTTTCTAATTATTTTGTGTCTCTGATTTGTCTCGAGTGGTCAGGTAGGTGCCAAGATCCTTGAGCACAGGGAGTTTATCCTGTGCGGGTTTTATCCCTCAAAAGATATCTTAGCACAGGGAAAAGGCATATAGAAGATGCCTGATAAATATTTGTTGATTGATTGATTGGTTGAATGCAAGGCAGTATGTCCTTAAGTGCTCAGCTGTGTTGTACAAACAGTAATCACCCTAGGAAGGCAGAAATGAGAGTCAGAGAAGGCTCCCCAGAGGATGTGGGGCTTGTGTTAGGCCTTAAAGGGTGACTAGGGCTTGACTGGGTGTAGAAGAGGGGCAGCGGAGGGCATTCTGGGGGGTAGGAACTAGATGAGCAAAAACATGGCGGTGGGAATGGGAATGGCATTTTGTAGGACAGGAAGAATTGTAAGATTATAAGCTTAGACCCAGGAAAGACCTCAGAGAGATCTAGGCCAACCCTCTCGTTTTCCAGAGAAGATACTGAGGCATGGAAAGGCTAAGCGGGTTCCCTGGGGTCCCGTAGGTAGTGAGTGACGGAGGGGGAGGATTTGAGTCTGGCTCCCCTAAATTCTGATTTTAGAACACAGAGTCTGTGTTAGGGATGACCTTGGGTCAGCTTAAAGTCCAGTTAGTGGAAAGCCTTGAACGCCAGTTGGAGGATTTGGATTTGGTCAGATTTCTACTTCAATGGTCTGTGCCTGAGCTTAATTAGGGTGGAGAAATCTCACCTGGGGAGCTTCCCTTTCTCCCTCCAGGGCACGATTGAAAACCCCGGGATCAATCAGCGGGCCCTTCAGCTACTCTTCTCCGAGGTGCAGGAGAAGGCATCAGATTGGGAGTACACCATCACGGTCAGCGTGGCAGAGATTTACAACGAAGCCCTCAGGTAGTGGGGCGTGGTGGGAAGGGGAGGGAAGGCCTCGGCCCCCTGCACACCTCCTTTGGGATGGATAGCCCTCTCGCAATGGGGAGTGGGAGCAGTGAGGAAGGAAGAGCTGGGCTGGACCCAAGGAAGAGACTTCTACCAGCTGGAGCTCTCCAAGGGCAAAATGGGGGAAAGGTAGAGCGCTATCCCAGAGGTGTTCGGGTGGGAGCCAGGTGACCACTTGTCAGAGATGCTGGGAAGAGGATGGCTGTTCGGGTACCAGTTGGATTAAATGGCCACTGAAGACCCTTTCAGCTCTGAGATTCCATGATCAGTGTGGTTTTTAGGGTCAGTACAGAAAGAATGTGAGGCAGGTATGTTACGAGCCCTGAGCTGACATGGGAATTCTAAAGGAAATAATCGGTGTCAAACAGCTTTTTGTTCCCTTGGACCTTCTCATTCCCTGGGTCTTAAAGAGGATACTACCAGCCATGTGACCCTGGGCAAGTCACTTAACCACTCTGCCTCAATTTTCTCATCCGTAAAATGGGGATGATAGCAGTACCAGCCTCACAGGGTTCTCATCAGGATGAAATGAGATCATATTCGTAATGTACTTTGCAAACCTTAAAACGCTAGAACCCCTAATGCTCCTGTTTGTTGGTTCAGAACACTCTGAGCTTTCTCAAATGTCTTATAGTCCTTTGCCTGGCTCTCCTTTGGTGCCGTCACTCCTATTTCACCTTGTATCATTGTCTCTTATCCTCCTTTATTAGACTATAAGCCCCTTGAGGGTAGGGACAGGGTCATTGTTTCATCGCAGTGTCCCCCATGCCCAGCACGGTGCCTAGCACCTGAACCAGAGACTTAATTAATGCTTTTTGAATTGGATTGTAGGTGAATAGACAAACCCTCCCAGGCTTTAATTGGAGGAACAGGGAAGCCTATAGCTGAATGTTGAAGGGTTGGGGTGCTTTCAGACCCAGCTTCTCTGAGAAGAGCCCCAGGGACCTTGACCTTGGTGGAACAAAACTGCCCTCTCTGGACTGTGATGTCAATCTTTGTCCAGCCAATGGGGCAGTAAGATGGGGGTGAGGAGGAGGGTCCCCTAGGACCCAGACTCCAAACTCTGGTAGGGGTCTCTAGTCTCACTTAAGCCTTGCTCAGACTCTCCCTCCAGCACACTGGGGTCAAAAATGACCAACGCCCAGTAGGGGCAGCGAAGGTCAGAAATTCCTGCTTTAGCCAATAAGCCAGAGGTTGGTCTGTAATTTTGGTTTTTGAAAAATGGGTTGAGTTCACGCTTGTTTGGCTAAGGCAGCTCACTGTGGAGCCTGCCCTGACTTCCCTTGTTCCTCATTCCTCCAGGGATTTGCTGGGAAAGGAGCCACAGGAGAAGCTGGAGATTAAGCTGTGTCCGGATGGCAGTGGCCAGCTGTACGTGCCGGGGCTGACGGAGTTCAAAGTGCAGAGTGTGGAAGACATCAACAGGGTTCGTAGGGAGGCAGGAATGGGAGGCCCCATTCTCTGATTGGAGATCGGACTCGGGGGAGGACCTTTGTTCTGGGATGGAAACTCCAGCTTCAGAGGCTAAGTCCTAGGGACAGACTTTGAATTCAGTTGTTTCTCCCTGGACTGGGAGTGTCAGTCAGTCAGTGATGTGCATTTATTAAGCACCTACTTATGCCAGGCACCATGCTAGGTGCTGGGGATACACAAAAAGGCAACAGACAATCTCAGCTCTTAAGGAGCTCCCAGTCTTATGGGGAAAGACAACTGTTGAACAGCTATATATGGGAAAGCTATAGACTTTCCAAATAAATAATCTCCAAATAAATTGGAGATAATCAACAGAGGGAAAGAGTGTGTGAAGGCATGTGAGCTGGTGCTCCTCAGTCAGGCCCATACCAGAGGTGGAAAGGCATTATGGTGTAATGAGCATTGTATTTAGAATGGGAAGACCCAGGTTGCAGTCTTGCCTCTGATACTTGTTACCTGGGACAGTGGTGCTTCACTTTGCCATGTGTCCTAGAGGCAGTCACCTTCCCTATCTGGCCTCAGTTTCCCTGCCTGTAAAATAAGAGACTGGTACTAGCTGTCCTATAATGTCCTTCCCAGCTCTGACCCTTCGTGGTTCAGTGATACCTCCATAGCTAGCCAGCTTTATTAAAGTCTTAAAAGAGGGGTAGAGAAACTTGGCTTCCTTCCTCCGTAGGAGAGAGGGAGACCAGAGGAAGCCCAGGGAGCTTGGAATCCCAATGAATTGTATCTGCCCCTTGATAAAAAACTGGCTCACGGACCATCAGCTTCCTCTTGGAAAATTAAATCATTTGCAAGGTAGCTTCAGAGATGGAGCCCATGGCCTAGGGAAAAGAGGGTTCCTTCCCTTCACTCTTGTCCCTTTTCTCAGGAACACACACAACCCATCATTTAGGGAGAAGCAATCGTGGTGTGCATCCCCGAGAAGAGGGATGGGAGTGAAGGAGTAAGAAGGAATCTTTGTTATCCACATCAAGCATCCTGTGTTGGGTATCAGAGAGTCACTCGGTGACACCCTATCCAGATGGACACAAACCAATGCATTCCAGCCTTTTGCTTCTCTCCCTTTTCAGGTATTTGAATTTGGTCACACCAACCGGACCACTGAATTCACCAACCTCAACGAGCACAGCTCTCGGTCCCATGCCCTTTTAATCATCACCGTCCGGGGCACTGACTATAGCACAGGGCTTCGGACCACTGGTGAGTGTGCCGGATGGAGGCGGGGGTAGTTTGGATTGGAGGTGAGAAGAGAGGAGAGTGGAGAGATTGAAGGCGTGAACCCCGGGGGAAAAGGGAACCGGGGGAGACCCAGGGGAAATTGGTGCTGAGAATTCTGCCGGGAGACCTGTGTGGGAATAGGGAAGCAGATAATTTGGCATTGCTTTCCTGGCTCTGAGTAGTGTTATCCATACCATTATCAATTCACTGCCCCTACAGAACACAAAGCCAAGCTGAGGATGGGGAGTTTTGACACCAGAGGATTTATTTCCTCCTCTCTGGGACTCTACTTACCTCACCTTTGAGTTAGAGAGTAGCCAGCCTGGTCAGTGTCTGGACTGTTCCTGGGGCAGTTCTTCCTCGGTTATGCCTTTGGGAATGTTGAATACCGGGGCCCAAGTAACCCAGTGATCCCAGTTCAAAAAATGAACCTCAAATTGGATCTCCTGGGAGTTTTCTTCTGCATGTTTGCAAAGGAACATAGTGCAGAATAACAGATTGTGGTCGCTTTGGTTAGTCCTGTGGCCCGTCCAGCTCAAGTTTCTGGTCTTTATCTAGTGCCTTCAGATAACAAGTGTGGCTAGGCCATAAACTACCTTGCCATGGGCTGATTTGTAAGTCAGTCTAGTTGAGGGGTCTGGAATCATCATCTGAACTTCTTCTGCAGGGAAGCTAAACCTAGTGGACCTGGCTGGGTCAGAACGTGTGGGCAAGTCTGGAGCAGAGGGCAGCCGGCTCCGCGAGGCCCAGTACATCAACAAGTCTCTGTCGGCCCTGGGAGACGTGATCTCTGCTCTTCGGTCCCGCCAGGGCCACGTGCCATTCCGTAACTCCAAACTCACCTACCTACTCCAGGACTCCCTCAGTGGGGACAGCAAAACCCTCATGCTGGTGCAGGTGAGACCCAGTGGGAGAGGCTGGGAGAGAGAGAGGACAGGGCTGTCCATTGGTCCAGGGTAAGCAAGGGTGTGGTTGGGAAAAACCCAGCAGCTCTGCCCTGCCTGCCTCACCCGTGGGTAGCAATTAGAGGCTACTCCCTTCTGTGATGGAGATGCTTCCTGAGGCTTTGGGCAAGATTAACCAAGTGTACACAGACCAAATGAATCTCCTCTGGGTGCCTTGGGGATGTGCTTTCTAGACCTGGTTTATTCTTGAAGGCAGAGGACACTCATAAGTTGTCAGATTTAGAACTAGAGACTCTTTAGACCAGAGTTTCTTAACTTGGGGTCCACACAAAAGGTCCATGAATATGTTTCAGGGGGTCTATGATCTTAGATGGGAAAAAAAAATTACACCATTATTTTCATGTAATTGGTTTCCTTTGTAATCCTATGTATTTTTTGTATTTAAAACCATGAATCTGAGAAGGGGTCTGTAGGCGTCATCACTGCCCGACACAGAAGAAGTTAAGAGTCCCTGCTCTGGTCTGACCCCCACATTTTCCAGCTCTCTCTCCTGCAGATTGGGGAGATGCCATTATGGAATGAATAGCTCTTCAAATCCTCTTTACTGTGGATTACCAGGGTCCCTGTGGGTCAGGTCCAGGGTGTTTCTTTTTCCTCTTGGCACATCATGGTTTTCCTCCATGATGTCATCTCCAAAGGTTGGGGGTGGGTCATCGAGCATATGTCCCTGCACAGACCATTTGAGATCTCTCATGCAATAGTTCATCTACATTGGGGTTTTTGTTTTGTTTTTTTTTGTTTGTTTTTTTAGGCAATTGGGGTTAAGTGACTTGCCTAGGGTCACACAGCTAGTTAAGTGTCAAGTGTCTGAGGTCAGATTTGAACTCAGGTCCTCCTGACTCCATGGCAGGTGCTCTACCCACTGCACCACCTAGCTGCTCCCTACATTGGGGGCAACTTTTTTTGTGTCACGGATTCTTTTGGCAACAGTCTGGGGAACACTCTGGACATGTCCTCAGAATCATGTTTTTATTTTATTTTTAAAATTATATTTTAATTTTTTTCATTAAATATTTCCCAGTTGCATTAAAATTTTTTTAACATCAATTTTTTTGCGATTTTGAGTTCCAAATTCTCTTTTTCCCTCTAGCCTCTCCCCCACCATTGAGAAAGCAAGCAATATATTAATTATACATGTGAAGTCATGCTAACATATTTCCATATTAGCAATGTTATAAAAGAAAACACATTAAAAAAAGAACAAGAAAAATAAAGGAGGTGAAAAATGTATGTTTCAATCTGCACTCAGAGTTCATCAGTTCTCTCTCTGGATGGAAATTGCACTGTTCATCATGGGTCCTTTGGAACTGTCTTTAATCATTGGCTTGATCAGAGTAGCTATGTCTTTCATAGTTGCGCATTATCCAATATTGTTGTTACTGTGTACAATGTTCTCTTGGTTCTGCTCACTTCACTTTGAATCAGTTTACATAAATCTTCCCAGTTTTTTTCTGACACCATCCTGCTTGTCATTTCTTACAGCACAATGGAATCATGCTTTTAAATTGTATAAAATCAAACACATAGGATTGCAAAAGAAACTAATCACATTAAAATAGTTATCCCAATATTTTTAACAAGCCAAGTTCAGGCACCTCCAGGTTAAGAACCCCCGATCTTAACCTCTTTTTAGTTTTTTTTTTCCTGTGGCACCTGTTCTATTATTTTACTACATCTTGGTTTATGTCTCTACTGCTCATGGCTGCTGCCTGGCCCCCCTTCCTAAAATCCCTGCAAGCCTATGCCCTGATGCCACTTCTCTCTTGGGAATGTTGAATAGGGGATCCACAGTCAGGAACAGATTGGCCTCTGAGATCCTTCGAAGCTATGATTCTCTGTTGGCCATAACCATGGCAGTGTTAGAGGGAGTCCCAGAAGATGTGGCATCATGGTTGATCACTCAATTAGAGGCTTTCTGCTTCTTTTTAAGCTCTGAGCTCTCCCTTAACAAGGTGCAAGACGTGCCTTTTTTTAAAAATTTTTTTTTCATGAGCTCTAGGGCACAGGAGGCTTCCTTCTGAGAATGGATAGATATCAGCTGACCCAGAGAGCTGTTCGTGAGATGCTTGTCCCCAACAAGAGCATTTTAGACAAAGACTCTCCCAACCAAAAAGATGTCAGAGTGGTCCCAGGTGCAGCATTTCCCTCACTTAGAAAAGCCCCCTTCTTCTCTCCAAGCTTGGTACAGAGGTGGGGGAGCCTGGCCAAAGCAGAGTTGGGGTCTGTAAGCTTGATACTGACAACCGTGATGATTCAAGAGCTCCCTTCAGAGAAAGGGAGCTGACCCATGGGAACACTGCTTGGTCTTTGGACGATGGCATTTCAATGTCATTGGTTTCCGATGTTATTTTTAAAAAACACGATTGTGAGAAGGGGCCACCAGGCTTCATCAGCCAGAGGAGTCCATGATACGAAAAAAAGTTGAAGAAACTCTGGGCTCTACAGTTCAGAGGGCTGGGCTTCTTTGCCCTCTTGGGTCAGCCTGAGAGATTCAGCCAGGAAACAGAATCCATGGGGTAAGGCTGGCCCTCCCCCATGCCTCCTCATTCATTGGCCAAAGCCAGGCACAGGGTGCTGATGGCAGCATCTGTTGGGCCCAAGGGCCTGAGATGCCCACAGGAGATACGAGGAAAGCCAGCTGCACTATGCCCTCACCTGCCCTCCCCAAGGCTGTCTGCTGTCCCTGCAGGGGAAGTTACTCATGTTGAGTTGGGGAGGAATTTCTCCTGCCCTTGCTTCAGTAAAACCCCCATAATAAAGTCTCCCATCCAGCCACCAATTTGGTTATGCTGCTGTTACCCAGACTAATTTGGAGAATACTTTGGAGCTGGAAAACTGGACAGAACCTGGAATCCATAAATGCACCTCATAGATCTATCAATGCCGTAATAGATTTAGAGCTGGAAAAGATCTTGGAGGCCATTTCGTCCAATGCCCTCATTTTACTGATGAAGAAACTGAGGCCCAGAAAAATTAACCAGGGTCACATAGCTAAGACGTGTCTGAGGCAGGATTTGAACGCAGGTCTTCTTCACTCGAAGCTCTGTTTGGCTCTCAAGCTATCTCACTACCTAGTTGTCTCAGATTTTGGGGCAGAGACTACATCAGGATGAAGATGGGGTCAGGATTATTTGGGAGTAAAAGAGGTTTAATTAATTTAATTTTCATGCTGAAAAGTTGCCATATATAATTCATATCTTTGATAGTACTTAATTTCATATTTAATATTTTAGTCAACAGACATTTATTAAGCACCTACTATGTGCCAGGCACTGTGCTAAGCTCTGGGGATACAAAGAAAGGCAAAGGACAGTGCCTGCCCTCAAGGAGCTCACAGTCTAATGGGGAGACAACCAGCAAACAAAGCGTTGGTCAGAGACCTTTATCTTTTCCAAAACTCTTCCGTATCTATTTTCTCATATGCTCTTTGCCCTGGCCTCCAGACATTAAAGTCTCTATTTTGCTTCTTGGAGACTCAGAGAGGGGAAGTGACTTGTCTAAGGTCACCAAGCTGACACCAGAATTCAAAACGCCTGAGGAATCAGACTCAGGGCTTTCTCTATTGTACCCCACCACGAAATGTGCCTCTCCCCGCAGTATTGAAATCCATGGTCCAAACAATTGAGTTTGGTTCCTGGGATGACTCTTGTGTTGGCGGGCCAGGCCAGATTTTTTCAGGTTCTAGTTTTCCCTGAGTTATAAGACCCTAACACCATTCTCTTTAATTTCTGGATCCTTGGTTCCCTTGTAGCTGGTGAATCAGTCACTTACGTTTATTCCCAGAGGTTAAATTCACTGCCTAGGCATTATAATGGAAAAGGTGCTAAACCTGAGATCAAAAAGACCTGAGTTCAAATCCCACTTCACATACTTATTAACTATGTGACCCTGCCTCAGTTCCTCCATCTGTAAGTGAGAGGACTAAACTTGATTTCTCTTTAGCTTTAAGTCTGAGATCCTTATGGAGCACAGTAGACAAATCATTTGCTTAATTTAAAGATTTTGCTTGGCTATCCTCAGTTCTTCTCCTAATTCCTCTTGTGATTTTTTTGCCCCTGATGAGTTAACTCCTAGAGCCTGTCTGTTATCCATTATGTTTCAAGGAAGTTCCTGCCCTACTTCCTAGTGTTAACTGTTGTTACTGTTTCTGTATATCTGTCTTCTGATCTTCTGCCTTTGCTTCTTTCTTATTATTTTTAAAATTGTCTTTGTGTTCTTCTTAAGTTTGCTCATTATTTGGGGGGGGAATTCATTCTCTTGTGGGGATTTGTGGTAGTTCTGCTTCTTTTTGGTGTTTCTGTTGCTTTTTTGATGGGGGAGAGGCTCCTCTTCAAAGCACAAGGCTTCCCTTTCTGGAAGACCCCAGACAAGCCACTCCCTGTATGGAGGCTGAGGAAATTGAGTGACCCAGCTGACTGCTGTGGTCCCTTCCAACTCATGAGTTCCGTGGATAAATCTGGGATCTTCAGGCTTGGGCCCTGGGCCAACCCAGCTGAAAGGGCAGAGGGAATGAAGGCCTTGTGTCACCTGCAGGTCTCCCCTGTGGAAAAGAACACCAGCGAGACCCTGTGTTCTCTGAAGTTTGCTGAGAGAGTGAGATCCGTGGAGTTGGGCCCAGGGTCACGGAGGGCTGAGCTGATGTCATGGTCTAGTCAGGAGCACTTGGAGGTAACAGAAACGGCCCTGTGACCTCCCTCTTGGGTGTGGGTTTTCTTGCCTTTCTCTGGGACCAGACTGGCTTCCATGCAGGGTTCATCCTCCTCCGTTTCATCGTGTCTGTGGGTTTCATTGTGCCCTGGGACAGCCCCCATCTCCCTGACCTTTGCTCCGGGCTGATGCCAGCTTTCTTTTTTCTCTCTCTAGTTTGATGGAGGCTCAGTCCAGACTCCGTCTTCCGCCCGGTCATATTCCTCTTCTAGTACTGGGGCTCCCATTAGCCGGTCTAGCTCAATCCGGAGGAAGCTGCAGACCTCAGGTGAGTCCACAGAAGAGGAGTGAGAAGCTCCTTCATATAATCATGGCTGTGTGCCTGGGGGTGGCAAAGGAGGATGAATGGGCTGCCTGGTCTCATCTGCTCATTGGCCAGTCTGTCCAGATCATGGGGGCCAGCCTCTCCTCAGCCATGAACAATGGCCTCTCAATCACTTGGGTGGCCTCAGTCACTTTGGGAGCTCACAGAGATGCTCACTGACCAGGATGGTCTGGGGGAATGGGGGTAGGCACAGACCTGGGACTGAACCCCAATTCTCATTGGGAAAAAGGAGCTGCATCCGCTTCATCTACTAATTGAGTGATTTACCTTGAGCCCCCAGGGAATTTGTTCCCCACAGCATGGAATGTACTTGTCCATTGGTGACTTTAATCCTCGGAGAATCCAAATGGCCCATCTTTTTCCAGTTTTCCTCCCTCAGGACAAATGATTTTTATTATTAGAATCATGCTTTTAAAATTTCTACAAGGCAGTTTCGCATCCATCATCTCCTTTGAGCAGAGACTGTTACCCCCATTTTGCAGATGGGCAAACTCACTCAGTGAGTTAGTTAAAGGGCCAGTGCAAGCCAAGTTTCTTTTGCCTCAGAGAATCTTTCCAAGGGAGTCCAGCTCTGGGACAAGCCCAGCATCCCCCTCTCAGAGACAGTCTCAATAGCCTTAGAGCTGAAAGTGACCTCAGAGGCCCTCATTATACCCAGGAGAAAACTGAGACCCAGAGATGTGAGCTGACTTGGCATTCTGGGTCAGAGGCAGAATTTAGACTCAGGTCTTCCTGACTTCAATACCCTTGTTCCATGCCAAGAAAAAGGCATCTGTAGGAGTAGGGCCTGCCTGCCTAGTCCAGGGTAACAGACAGTCTTGGCCTGGCATCCTTCCCATCTCAGAAAGTGTATTTTTTGTTTCTTTTTGTTTTTATCCTTGAGAAGTAAAACCATAGAATGTCAGAGGTGAAAAGGACTTTCCTTCCATGGAAATTCTTTAGTGCAGTGAGCTCATTTTACATATGAGGAAACTGAGGCCCAGAGAAAGGCATGCCCAAGATCACACAGAGTTAGTGGCAGAGTTTTTCTGGTCCAGGGCTCTTTCCCCTAGACCAGTAAGTCAGACCAGATGCCTTTTGTCCCCAAGGAAGAGGAAGGGAATATGACTCCAGTCTCTCCAGTGAAACTGTTTTGTTGGCTTTGATTTCAGCCTGAATTCGGGGGTCTGTCTGGCATGTTCCTCGGTGAGTGTTTGGGGAGGGATAGGGTGAGTCTCTGGCCTCCGTGGTGAAAGTCTGCTTTTGTTTCTGCCTGGACAGTGGATGCTGGAAGGCCCTGGGTCTCACTGCTAGGATGTAGCCTCAGGGTTTCTTTCCTGCCTTTCTTTTTAATGGGGTCCTGCCCTTTCCCTTCCCAGGCCCTGGTGGGCTGCTTCTGGTGGCCTGCTTCTGATGGCCATGGATTGTGTGTAAGGCAGCCAGTCGCTTATCCTCTTCCCTGATGCCTTTTTCTCCTTCTTTCCTACTGTAGGAAAGACAAAGCCAGTGCCAGTATGATACACCAGGAGCGCAACCAGGATACACCAACATCTGGGTGTCCAGTGCCCGGGAAATCCGAGGGTGTGAGGTTGGAGGAAGGACACTGCGTACTGCTCACCTCCTCCCTTTCCACCCAGAATCAAGGACCCTAAGTGTGCACAGACTGTTCTTAGGCCCGGGAAGGAGAGGGCTTCTCCTTTCTGCCCTAGACACTCTGCTTCTCCCCAGCCCTATCCCCGACAGATGTGAAATTAGTTTTGAAGGAAATGAATCTTTTCCCCAGCCCAGACTTGAGGGAGCACCGAGAGTGTGTGTTGGTGTGTTGGGGGCTGCAATGGGCCTGGCTGGACCGTAGGCACACCCCAGCCTGCAGGACTGACCTCCTCGCCCTGCCTGTGGGCTGCAAGCGTTTTAGGTTGCAGGGAGGCCACATGGTCTTTGGGCTTCAAGTTGGCTCATCTGGAGGCTTGTGTTAGTCCAGATGATGGGAGCTGGGCCTGGCCCTAGGAGCAGGTGCCCACCTTTCTGATAGCTGACCTACAGTATGATCAGTGCTCTGACTCAGACCTAATTGTGGACAGAGGTGGACATTCCCTCGGGACCTCGGAGCAGCACGGTGGAAGAAGGCTTTGCCTACCTATTCTGTCTTACATCCTTGGGCCGTCCCGGGCCTCATCTCTTAGCCCAATTCCTGCCAACAGATCCCCCGCCTATGGGGGCCCCAGGGGTGGAACGCAACTCATTTTGTGGGATTGGCCTGGAGTTTGCTCTTTGTGGGTTTTTGGTTCAAATGCCCCCTTAAAGCCAATGGGCAAAGAGGAAACTTAGATTTCCCTGTGAGGGAAAAAAGGGCCTGGGAACATGGTGGCATCAAGGAATTATCTTCATTCAATTATGGGGGCTGCCACACCATGGGCTCCTTATAGCTGCACCTGAAGGCTGGAGGAAGGGGGCAGGAGACATGGGCTTTCTCTATGGCTTCTCCACCCCACCCCCTTTCCACAGTGAATCTCCTTATTCTAAGCCTACTGTCCTTCCCTACTCCTTGGAGCTACTCTCCTTCTTCTCCCCTCCATTTCCATCCATCCACACGACTTGGTTTTCTGGAAAACCATTAGCCTGCAGGACCCCAGAGGCTGCTCTAACCTCTTGTCCTTGCCATGCAGAGGAGGGAGGCTGGGAATGGCCAGGCTAAGACCTCCATCAACAATCTCAGAACTTTGTGGGGCGAGGGAAAGATGATTGGCTCCCGTCTCCTGGCATAACATCCTCTCAACCCTCGTTCTTTCTGTTTCCCAAGGGAATGATGCACTTTATGGAAAAAGTCAACAGACTACCCCATCCAATCATTGCGGAGGGAATAGGTGACAATTCCCCAGACAGGCTGGTTCAAAACAACATGGGAGATGGGGAAAAATTGGCTTTCAAAATGCAGGTGACTGGTGGGCAGGCAGCCAGGGGCAGTATGCCCACAGCTGCAGGGAGGTCTGTCCCCTAAGCCCTCACCTGTGCAGAGATCCCAGGGAGGGAATCATCTTACCCAGGGAGGGGGTTTCAGTCCTGAAACCCTAGCTTCCTTCTCATTTCCTCCACCCTTCCCAGTTTCCTTAAGTTTATATTTGGTAAACCCAAGGGAGGGGAAGGGGCTAGAAACCCAAAAGACAAGGGGAGGGGGACAAGTAGCTAACTTCCCTCCAGGTGGGAAACAAAAGCATGAAAAGTGAATCTGTACATACCTGTATATAGGTGTACATAGACACCGCTGGAGAGTTAATCTAATCGGCGGAGATAAATTTTAAGTTTTTTTTCTCTCAATCCCCCCCCCACCCCCAAGGCTGTTGCTGGACACATATTTATATCTCCCAGAGGCTCAGTGCCCTCAGGCTCATTTTTTGTGAAGTTTGATTGTTGTTTGTGACTCGACCCTCTTGGAGGCCAGGAGGTCCTTGGAGTGGCCAGGCAGTTTACGTCTCGAATGCACTGGTTTCTCTTTTCCCACTACAGCCCTTTTTAATGTTTCTCATAATTCCTAATCAAGATCTTTTGGAATATGAGCTGTTTTTACTGATTTTAATAAAGAGAGCTCTTTTGCACAAATTACATGAGAACTTACTCTAAGCATAGACCTCCCCTCCTTGTAGAAGGGGATTCAGGGTGTGTGTGTGTGTGAGATATTAGAGCTCTGATCAGCACAATGACCAGCCATGATACCAAAGGATGAGTGATGAAGAATGCCACCACCCACCTCCTGACTGAGAGGTGATGGACTTAGGGTTCAGAATGAGAGATGTTTTTGGACATGGCCCATGTGAGAATCTTCTTTGCCTGATTACACATATTTGTCACAAGGGTTTCCTCCTCACCCTGGGTGTGGGACTGGGAGGGAGAGACAATGATAATTGAAAAAAAAAAAAAGGCTGCATCACCAGGTTTGTGAAAGGAGTGAGACTCTCACTAAACAACAGGGTAGATTCTGTGGGAGAAGTTACTGAATCTCTTCACCCTCAGGAGAGGGAAACCAGCATGGATCTAAGTCACTTTTCTTCAAAGGATATCTTTTCATTTATTTCCATAATTAAGTGGCCACATTTGTTTCATCTCAGACACGCTGCAGCCAGGGGGATAAAGGGAGTTGTACTTGGTTGGAAACAACACAGTGGGGTTTGGGGCAGGTGCTCTGGCCACCTGTTATCTCCCTGGCCTGCTTCCCCACCCTTCACTGGCTCCTGTCTGCTTGAGCAGAGGAGCGAGGGATTAGCCACGTCCAGATTGGGAACAGGTGTGGGAACTGGATCCTTCTCCTCCTGGGAGTCAGAGGTTAGACAGCTGCTGGCTGAGCAGCAGGTAGGAGAGATGGATGGAGAGGGCTCCTCCTCTTGCCTATCTCTGTTCTGTGAGCTGTTACCACAATGGGACTTCTGAAGGCCTGCTGATCACCACCTCCTTTGCAGCCCAAAGCATCTCTGGCCACATGGGGTGGGTAGTCTTTCCCAACCGGATGATAACTGCAGCCAAGCATTACAGAAGCCATGTTGCCAAGATTAGGCCAAAAGCCCTAAGTGCAAGGAATCAGGGACCGTCCCGTCTGCCCTCTCATCCAGTGAAGGAATTGTCTCTCTAGCCTTGACATGAATATTTTCAGTTACAGAGAGCTCATTGTTTCACAAGACAATCTATTTCATCGTCAGGTAAGTGTTAGAAGTCTCTTTAAAGCTGAGCTGAGATCTGCCATTTTGTAACCTCTCTCTTGCTCCTTTTCCATTTGGAGACTTGAAGACTCATGTTCTCCCAACCTGAGTCTCGTCTTGTTCAAATAGTTTATGTTTCCTGGATAGATTCTCACAGGACAGGATTCTGAGTTGCTTTTCTTCTTGGATGCACTTCCTCTTAAAACGGAGTGTCCAGGAGCTGAGCGCCACCGTACTCTTGGTATGGCCTAACAAGAACAAAGCATTCTTTGCCATTCTATAAATGACATAGTTTAGGACGGCGTGAGTGGATTTGACAGCCAAATCAGCTGTCCTTCCCTGTTGTCTCAAAAACTCCCACTCCATAAGGCACCTTGCTAGTGACCGTTCATTCATTCCATATATACACTTCTACAGTATTTTGTCAATCACCTATCTCTGGTTGTTTGTCTCAGTTGGCTGGAGCCCCATGCATAGGAGGCCAAGTTATGGGGCTGATCCCCGTGTAAGCCCTGGCTCTATCCACTTGCATTCAAATTGTATCATTGGTGTCTACTTATGCTTTGTTGGGGTCATTCCTAAAGGGCAGGGGTCAGTGTCACTAATCTCAGTAGGGCCTCATAGATTCTCATCTCCTCAGTGTCTAGCAGAGACCCAATACCTCCCCCTATTGTCCATTCAGCAAACAGTCATGGATGGATCATGAAGATGTGTCCTGTAAACCTTCTTCTGCGTGGTCACAAGACGAAGTGGGCCGTCTATGTTTGAGTCAGTGTATACCAAATGCCCCACTGAAGACTGAATATACTGTTGGAGGGGGGTGAGGAAAAAAGGCCCAGCAGGGTGGGGCCTCAGGCAGCAGAAAGAGAGCGTATCATTATCTTTCTCCTCTAGCAGGAAGCAGGGGCCCAGCCCCATCAGAGCTGCAATGTCCAGTGGCTGCTGAGGACGGCCTCCAGGGCTCCCCCATCCTTTCCTCCCCTTCTCTCCAGCCTTGTCCAACAGTTCTATGGATTCTCCATTTGTTCCTAAAACAGCTTGAGCTGTGGGGTGGGACCAACCTTAAAGTCTTCTTTGAGGGTGAACGGTCACCATGAGAACAGCTGTCCCTCCCAAAAGCCTGGGACTGACATACCAGGGAGGGGAATGGGATTTTGCCCCCTCCCCCTCCCCCAACCCTGCTGCCCCTTAAGGGCCCAGGGTGAGGCTGAAGGCCCAGGGTGGACTTCTCAGCCAGACTAGAACTCCCAAACCCTGCATTACAGTTGGGCCCACTGGGCCAAGCCCAGCCCAAGAACTCTGGCCTATGCCCACTATTTAAGCAAGAAGGCCACTGTGAGTTGGAGAACTCTCCTTTGCCTTGACTCCAGCTCCAGGTCACATGGGGCCCAGATGGTTGGCACTCTGCTGAGCTTCTCCGGGTCTGCTTTGGCAGTGCCCAGTACCAGATTACCTTTTCCAAGGGGAAGCTCTAATTTATCTCCCCCCAGGTTCATCCAAAGTGGATGTTTATAATATACAAGGGGTTCTGAGCATTAGTGAAGTTTTAAAAGCTATTAAGCTGAAGGCTGCACTGGGACTTTTGAGACACCCAGTGGGGCGTGCGTGTGTGCGCGCGTGCACACGCACACACACACACACACACGAATGAACAGCTGGGCCACCTCCTTGGGCCAGGACGGCCTCGGCCTCCCTCTGGTGGTCAGAGGGCAGTCCTGCACTGACTCGTCTCAGAGGCCCCTGGCGGCCAGTTCTGCCTGGGGGGCCGTCTAGGCTTCACACCAAGCTCCATGCCAATGCTCCGGGAGGACCCCAGATCTCCTATTGCTGACCTCCAGCCCAGGGGTCAGCCGTGGCAGACACCAGGATCAGCTTGGTTCTGTGCCTGCCTGCCCCCTCTCCCCCCTCGGGAGGACCACTCCCTCCCCAAAGGAGACCAGGGAAGAGTCACAAATTTGATAAAATGCACCTCCTCCATGCCAGCCTCCAGATCGCCCCCAGAAGAAGCGATAAGGGGCCAAGTTGGACAGTGGTTTATTGGAGAACAAAGTCATCAGCGGGAGCCCCGTGGTGGCCTGGGCTCCTCCCTCTCCAGGGGATGCGCAGAGCTGTGACCCCGGGCAGCCACGCGCCTGCCTGCACACTGGGTGGTCCCTGGGGCGAGGTCCGAGTCTCTCAGGACAAAGTCCACACGGGTCCCAACCTGACAGACACGGCTGGGCCCCAAAGTGGGTCCAGGATGGGGAGAATGAAAAGGCGACGGGCAGGGGAGCCGGGCTCTGGGCCACGCTGCAGCCAGGGAGCTGCAGGCAGATAAAACCACAGAGCCCGGGGGTGGGAGAGGAGGAAGAGGGGGTGAGGGGCAGGAGGGGGAGTCCTCTGGCTGAGTCCCGGCCCAGTCCTGTCCTCCCTGTGTGGAGGTCCCGGGCACAGGCTGAGCAAGGCCCCGGGCAGAGGCTGTGAGTGCGTGCACGGGGCGAGCTGGTCACTCAGTCCAAAGGGGCCATGAGCAGGTGCAGCTCCCGGAAGGCACTGCCGTGGCGGCCGCTGAGGCCGGACTTGTTCTTGATGAGGTGGCTGATGGTCTTCAGCTGCTTGTAGCACAGCCTGCACTTGTGGAGTCTGGGGACAGAGGGAGCCGGGTGTGAGGAGGCCCAAGCCCCGGCCTTCGTCACCCCCACCTCTGCATCCCTGGAAGGAGGCAGCAGGGGGACGAGCTCTGGGCCTCAAATGCAGGGCTCCTGATCTCCAGCCACCGGGTGCTTTTCCACTGATACCAGGGTGGCCCCCTGGGCAGGCAGGGTGAGAGCCTGGGGCTGGGCAGAGTCGGCTCCCCCAAAGATTATTACTGGTCAGCCTTTAAGCTCCTCCTCCTGGGCCTGGCCCAGGCCTCTCCCTCATCCTCCTGGCCCTGCCAGGCGTCCCTTCTTCCCTGCCCAGGCACCAGCCTGTCTCCTTCCTCCCAGGGCAGACCCAGGCACTGGGGGGGCTGCCTCACCTCTCCTCTCGGCTGATGTCTACCCCCACAGAGGGCGGGGCAGCCAGGATATCTGTGATCAGGGGCAGGAACCTCTGCAGGATCAGCTTTAAGGAGGTGCATCCCGTCTGCACGTAGCTGGAGAGACATGGGCAAGGTGGTCAGAGGACTGGAGCCCAGCTGGGCCCCCAAGGAAATTCACCTCAATTGGACCCACTCACTTGGTCCAGGCCTAGGCATCACCTGTGCTGAGGCTTTCTTTCAATCATAACATGAGAGACTTGGGGCCACAGAGGACTGACCTCCTGGTCCCAGGGTACTTGGGCAGGGGGGCAGGAAGAGGGAGAAGGTCTGAAGCTGTGGGCCAAGCCAGCTTTTCTAGCTCATGGCTGACAGCTCTCAAACAGCCCCTCAGTTTTACACAATAGGGGTAACAGGCATCTTAACCTTATTTCAGGGCCGATCGGTGGCACAGCGGATAGTGCTGGGCCCGAAGTCAGGAAGACCTGAATTCAAATCCAGCCTCAGACACTTCCTAGTTGTGTGACCCAGGGCAAGTCACTTAACCTCGTTTGCCTCAGTTTCCTCATCTGTCAAATGAGCTGGAGAAGGAAATGACAAAACCACTCCAGTGTCTTTGCCAAGAAAACCCCAAATGGGGTCACGAAGAGTTGGACACAACTGAAACGACTGAACACCCACCACCTTATTTCAATTATGGGCAGGGTAGCAGTGAATGTGCCTCAAGCAGGGGCTGTAGGCAAATGAAGCCAACTGTGGCTGAGGAAGGCCTCCTCCCAGGCAGGGAGGCTCAGCCCCAGGCCTCTGCCACCACATTGTCAGGCCCCGTGGCCAGGCCTCAGCTCCAGCCTGGCTCTCACGAAGTCTCTAAAGTGAGAGGCACAGTGGCTGGAGCTGCCAAGCCTGCAGTCAGG